CTATCTACAGCTGTCACTATCCAATAAAGCCAATAAAAAGGCCAAAAAAATAACTTAATAAAATTTAAAAAAATACTGTAGCGTAGGCTGACCATATTCAGCAAGGGACAGCTCACGCAGCAGGATTGTTGACTGTTGTTGAATCCTGAACAGAACCGATTCAAGAACCAAATCTAATTTGGTGGAAAAGGGGTACTTCTGGTCCCCACTTCTCTTCTTAATTGTTCCTGTTTGGAGCCACTGTCAGCCACGTATTTTGTTAAATACAACTGATTTGCACATCAACAACAGCTCAACAAGTGAAATACTTAACTGAATGATCCTTTTCAAGCTGTTTTCAGCTTATAGTATTTTGCATTAGTAACAGATCTACATAAAAACTAATCTAATTAAAACTAATTACTACTAAAAATTTGTTAGGTCTTTGGAAAAATACAAAACATGAGTTGCCCCAGTCAGTTACCTTGTGGTACACCATGCCGAAGTTGTCTCACACTGGAACTGACGGTATGAAAAACACTTTGATGTCTAGTTGACAAATAGCAATGGACTGGTTGCACAGCAGACATTTTGACTTGTCTAAGCCGGAAAAACAAAGGTGGACTTAATAACAGTAACGATGGCTTAGTTCCATTAAGTGTTTTATAACAGTGACTGTGAACAAACACCCACAATAGCAGGACTTCCCCTAAGTGGTATGCAGCTACCATTAGTACACCTGTGAGTTGTCTACTGTGCAACCAGTCTATTGAGCCAGGAGAGTGGGCTTGCTACACTGGGCTGTACAACTGAACTGACCTAATAGAGGTTGTCAGGTATGTTGTACAGTACTTGAGTATAAATGTGAGAGGAACCAGAAATGTAAAAACAACAACTGAGACACTGACTTTTCATAATGATTTTTACTGTTGGTTATGGAAGACAACTGACTTATGACTTGCAATTCATATGGCAATTCTGCAAGCTGCGATAGTCTTGTTTTATGTTCGATGTAAATTTGAAATAGTGGCAGGGAGCCAGTGAAGTGTTATAATGTACACATGCACAACAAAGTAAATGAAAATACATCCAAGACAAAGGCATGCATCGAAAATACACCAGAATGTGACTTACCATTGGATGCTGTGAAGTCTATAGCCACTGTGAAGTTCAGTTGTGTTCTGTTGCAAAGATAATGGGAATCAAAGGGGAAAAGAGGAAAACAACAAAGAGCATCACACACACCAACACAATGAACTGCAATATAATGAGTTTACTGGTTCACTGGCTAATTGGTATGGCAATATTCCCTCCACCATCTCGAAGGTCTAATTAGGTAAAACAAATGGAACCAGTAATTAAAAGTGAATGAACTGAATAAATTAGTCGTTTGTAAATGATATTTACCAAAGCAAACTCCCCCAAAACTTCACCCCTTCACAGGCATGATGAATTCAATGTTGATGCTCAAAAAAAAGCTTTTTGGAACTTCACTGTACTATATTCAGATAACTACACACACACATACACACAAACACACTCTCTCTCACACACACACACAACTGAAGACACACACAACCAAAGACACACACAACTAAAATGGTGGCTATTGACACTCACTGTGAGAGCAGGCTAATTATTATTCCACTCACCCTCCTCGGATGAAATCCACAAAGGTATACTCGGACTCCACTTTGAAGGACAGCAGAGTTACCTGGCGAACACACACACACACACACGTACCGACACACATACAGAGTGAAAAACAGAGCAGGAGGAGGACCGGGGCCAGGTAGACGGGAAGGAAAAAGACAAAGAGGTGGCCAGACAGCAAAGGAGTTGGTGAGAGAGAAGCAGATGTAAGAGGTGATGATACTTATCTGAATATATTAGATAACATAAAATACCAAAACAGAGAACATGGTGGGTGTACTCACAGTTCCAGAATTGATGTATTTCTTCTTTTTGCCTTTCTTCTTGGGATTTAAAACCTGCCGGGGGGGTAAGTTAGTGTATGAGTGGGTACTTGTAAAACCACTTCATACCCTGGAATGATGTTTAATAATGAACATGAATAATTCAACAGATTCCTGATAATACTGGCAGCCCATGAATTGAAACTGATATTTTGTTTAACTGTGTGTATATAGAGTAGGGAAGATAAAAAGGGACTCTGAGAGGTGAAGAAATTAAACCATTCATCCATCCATCGTCATTACGAATCTGACGGGTAAACTTTCTCATTCACTTGTAGAAGAGATGATTATTAGAGACTTCTTTATGTCTTTATTCATTATGTTGCAGTAGTATTATTAACTGGTTTGCTTAGAACACTGTTTCTCAAATATTTTACACCAAGTACCACCTCAGAAAATATTTCCAAATACCAGAATTATGACAAATATTAAAATACAGTAGTGTAGGCCGACCATATTCAGCTACGGATATTTACGCAGGAGGCAGATTTATTTCAATTAACAGATTATTTATTATTGACTGTTGTTGAATCCTGAATAAAACCTGTTCAAGAACCTGATCTAATCTGGTGGAAAAGGGGTACTCCTGGCTCACATTTTAGTTCATAACTAATCAAGGAAATATGCAAGAGCAGCATGCATGAACATGACTACAAAGCCGGCTGATATTGAAACAAAATA